GGGAGCGGGTGGCCTCTGACCGCCGGGCCAGCGTAGGCCGACCTGAGGCCTCGCTAGGCCGAGGCCCGGGCGGGGAGGGGCGGAGGAGGCCGAGCTCCGGCCCTTCGGGATCCGCATCTCCCAACGTGGGGAGAAAGTCCTGGGACCCGGGACCTCCCAGTGCGGGCTCCAACGCGTGGCGTGGCCTTCTCACGGGGACCCCTCACCCCCATGCATTCGCGCGTGTGCATCACCTCCGGTACGGTGTGAGCTAATGGCCACGGCAGGTGCTCCCCTAAAATGCTGTGAAATGGATCTGTTCTCCTGCCGCACGCCGCCTCCCAGCTTTGCTCCTTCACCTCCCGGGGACGCTCCACCTCCCGGGGAGGCTCCCGCTCCCCACCAGCTTCGGAACCCCTCCTGAGGGTCAAGTTGGTAAAGCACCCTGGCCATGGCCTTCCGTCTTTCTTTACACCTTGTTAGGAAGCTATTCCTGGACAGGTTCGGTGGCTCAGCCTGTAATCCCTGCACTTTGGGAGGCCGAGGCCCGTGGATTGCCTGAGCCCGCGGGTTCGAGCCCCGCGGGGAACTTGTCTGTACAGTCAATAAAAAAAAAAATTAGCCAGGCGTGGTAGCGCGTGCTGTAGTTCCAGCTCCTTGGAAGGCTGAGGTGGAAGGATCGTCCGAGCCCAGCGGGTTGAGACTGGTGTGGCCGTGAGCATGCCACTGCACTCCAGCCTGAGCGACGGAGTGAGACTCCAACTTAAAAAATAAAAAAAGAAAGTCATTCCGTAAGACATTATATACCTTATATTTCAGGCAGCTTTCATTACAATGACACTAGTTCTTAGTCCTTACTTGGCACCCATTTACAAGTGTTCCAGTTTAGCCGGAAGTGATAAAGCAACTCCCTGAGCTGAGGGTTCTAGGGGTTATGAGTCAGTTGGGAGGTGAAGGTTGGGAGGGCTTGGTGGCCCCCGTCAGGACTCTGTGCAGTGACTAAGGGCACAGAATATGTGCACAGTGTACTGTGGGATCCTGAGCAGGGTACTCACCTTTCTAATCCTCGTTTCTCCGTCCGTTGGACAGGGCTGTTAATCGTGCCTTCCTCACAGGGATTAAAGGTACACTGTACTAGTCTTTGCAAGGTGCTTAACACCGTGCCTGGAATATGGTAAGCTCCTGATGAATCAGTCAGCTCAGAGAAGGGAGACAAGCTTCAAAGATGAGTGATAGGGGTTTTAGTTCTTACTGGGTTGCTCTGTCCTTACCTGGAAAAGAGGGTTGGCCTGGGAGTGAGGTTCTGCTTGGGGTGGGAGGTGGGGTGGGGGAGCATATGGAGCTGGCAGGGTTTGCAGGGACAGAGTTCTAATGGAGGGCGGTGGTTCCTTTGATCTTTGATGTTTTTGCCTGGGCTTCTGGAAACCATCGAATCCTGCCTCGTCCCTTCTCCAAGCAATGCTGCCTGTTCTGCAGCAGGAACAGCATCCAGTCTTAGGAGAAGCAGAATCTCCATTAGGCTGTTTCACTCTGTCTTCTGAGTCCATTCCTACCCCAACATTTGTCCCTTAGGAACACCTGAACAGATGCCTGAAAACTTATGCCCTTGGTGTCTAGGGAAAAAGCCCAGGGAACTCATGGGAAGTGAGTACCTCCCAAATTGGAAGATACTGCCCCCTTAGAGTTCCATATATTTGTTTACACTTTTCAAAGCAGTTAGTTGGGTTATCTAATTTTTTCCTCACAATAGTCAAGTTAGGAAGGTAAGTCTCGATTTATGGCCCCACTTGATAGGTGGGCAAACTAAATCGGTTGCAGCAGGAAGCAGCACTTGCTCTTGGCCAGTCCTTCCTGGTGCTGAGGTCAGTGAATGCTGGTCCCCACAGGCCAGGAAGCTGGAGGCAAGCCCCTGGCTGCTGGGCTACAGGAAGGGAAGATGCTGCAGGGCTCAGCCCCTCCTGCTCAGGACACCCTGAGCAAGGAACTGCCACCTCCCCACGCCACCTCAGGAGAGAAGAAGCTGCCAGAGGTTTCAGGACAACTCAGTAGGGCTGACGCTGAAAGAGTGTGCCAGCCACCCAGCTCCAGGCCTCCCCACAAAGACAGAGCTCTGGCCCCATCCAGACCCCAGTCTTGGGGGGAAGCCTGTTCCCTGCCAGGGGGAGAGGCGAAGACAGGGAAGAAGCCCCATTCTCCAGCCCCTGGGAAGCAGAAAAGGCCTACTGCCTCAGCATCGTCTCCTGGTGCCTCTAACTCAGCCCATGCCACACACAAGCCCATGCTTTGTGGGTCAGCTCGGGGGCCCTGCCACCTGGCTAACCTCCTCAGCACGTTGGCCCAGAGCAGTCAAAACACAGACCAGAAGAAGGGGCCCCCAGAAGTGACCTGCCAAGTTCGGAAAAAGACTCGAACCCTATACCACTCAGGTAAGCCCCTAATGGTGAGAGGAAACCTAAGAACTCTGGGGTCTTCCTGGAAAAGTTGGGGCTGTACAAAGAATGTCACCCCAGGAGACCTGAGGGATGTGGTTAGTGTGCACATCACTTTGTCCTGAATCCTCTTTTGGTAGCCACCACCTCTGACCCTCAGGGGAAGGTTGGGTTATCTTATCAGAAGGTGAGGTTGGGAACATTACACAGGTCTCTGCTACAAGGCCCACACCCAAGGAGGCCCGGCCCCATGGACACTTAACTGGGAAAGTTCTTGGGAAGGCTCTGGGTTGGGAACACTGGTCCCATCTGCGAAAGAAACCTGGTGGGCACCTCTTTCTTCCTTTCCTGCCATCACTGGCGTTCATCCTCCTCATGGGAGTGTCTTCCTCTTCCAGACCAGTTGGAGGAACTAGAGAGGATATTCCAAGAAGACCACTATCCTGACAGTGATAAACGCCGGGAGATTGCCCAGATGGTGGGAGTCACCCCTCAGCGTATCATGGTAAAAGGGACTGGCTTTTCATGGCGAAGGGGCTGGCAAGGTAAGGGAGGACCTCCTGATGGGAAATCTTGCGTGGCAGAACAAGTTTTCCACGGCAGCCTTTCCATAAAAGACAGAAAGGCAGCAGAAGCAAAGTGGTGCAGTTCCCTCCTAAGGCCCCGCAGCTCCTTGAGTGATGGTCAGGACCTACTGCTTAGTCTCTACCCCTTTTTTTGAGTTCTTCTTTCCCCCACAGGTGTGGTTCCAGAACCGCCGAGCCAAGTGGCGAAAACTGGAGAAGCTGAACGGAAAAGAAAGCAAGGAACGCCCTGCAGCCCCTGCCCCTGCCCCTGCCCCTGCCCCTGCCAGCAGTCAGGGCAGGTAAGACTTTCCCCTCTTCCTGTGTCAATCCTGTGGATGGAGATGGGGTCCAAGCTGGGATCCTGAGGTCCAGAAGGAGAGAGCATTGGAAGGCTGGGCACGAGTCCTAGGGTTGTTGGCTTATCTCGAGCAGGATTTTGGCTGGGACATAGTTAGGAAGTTGCCAGTGCTTTGTGGGAGGCAGAGTTTGGGAATCGGGGTCTCCCTCCCTACACGGAGGTTTCAGTTTAGATCCCAAATCACCAGAACTCCAGTCTTCTTTGTCTCTGCCTCCAGCTCTGCAGCTGAGCTGCCGCCTGTCGTGCCCATGGACCCAGAGCCTGATCCCTTCCCTCAGGAAGCCACTCTGGATCCCTTTCCAGGTGAGCTGTCACCTTCAGAGGGTTAGTGGAAGGGGGAGGGTGGAACGGCAGCTAAGACAGTGGAGACAGAAGGGCCTTGCTTAAGAGGGTGAGAGTGGCCAGAGCTCTCCAGTGTTTGGGTCCAGTGGGTCCTCTTCAGGGGCACCTGGACATGGTCTTGTCTGCCATTCAGCAATCCCACACCTACCTCCTCACTTTCTCATCCTGATATCTCCTCTTTGCTTTCTGTCCCTAGAACCCCCCATGCTGCTGACTTCCGACCAGACTCTGGCCCCTACCAAGCCTGGTGATGGTGCTCAGAGGGTGGCGACTCCACCGCTCTTCAGCCCCCCACCTGTTCAAAGGGCTAACCTCCCTTTTCCCTTTGGCCCTACCCATACCCCACAACTGATGCCTCTACTGATGGATGTTCCTGGCAGTGACAGCAGCCACAAGGAGGGCACCTGTGGACTCTGGGGGACAAGGTATGGAACCTAAATGGAGAGGTCACTTGAGCTGTCTTTGGGGAAATATAGATGGAGAGAAGATAACACCCTCTGAGAGGAGAGGATAAACTGAGAAGAGCAAGGAGCAGTCTATGAGATGAGCATTCAAGGGATAAATGTATTTGGGGTGGGAATGACCTAGGATGTCACAGCAACGGAGCAGAAACAAGGGCGAGAAGCTGGGAGCAGGAAGGAGGAAGAAGCGGCAGTGATGGCCTTGCAAGTCTGGGATTCCCATGGAGCTGGAGAGAGGAGGGAGGAAGGGACCCGGCTCCTGTGTGGTGGGAACGGGAGGCCATCTGCGCCTGACCAGCCACTCCTTTGTTCTCCACAGCATGGCCCTACCTCCCTCCTGCTCATATTTGGAAGAGCTGGAGGCTCAAGAGTACCAGCAGGGCAATCTGCCAGGACCCTTCCAGCTCTCCCAGGCGCCACAAACCCAGCTTTTCCAACGCCCTCAGGCCCAGTTTTCATACCTGCCCTCTTTCCCCTTCCCCATGTCCAGTTCACTGACACTTTCACCGGCGGAAGACTCCCTCTTTATGTTTTCTTGTGGCCCCAGTGGGGGCACCTCGCAGGGCTATTGCCCGGGGGCCCCGTCAGGGCAGATCCTGATGCAGCCACCTGCTGGGAATGTGGGTGAGTCGGGGCCCCTTGTGATTGAGGAAGGGGAGGAGAGGCAGAAGACCTCGTTATCTGGAGGGTAGACTGAGGCAGGGCATGGGAGGTGAATCTTTTTTGCTTTCACCTAGTTCTCTTTATTAAGTGTTTTTCTCAAATGTCTTGGAGGCTGCAGAGCAAATTAGAATTAGCGAGAACTTTGGAGTTTGACATTAGGAAAACTGAGGATTGAAGTCCAGCTCAGCCAGTTCCCACAACTCTGAAGTGGGAATAAAATTCTCATATCACAGAGGGATTTGTGAAGATTAGAATCACGGAGTGAAAATACTTGATGCAGACTATATGGCAGCTAATGTTAGCATTCTGCTGGGCCACTTGAACCTCTGAAATCCCAGAAGCATCTGTCTTATGAAGACAAGATTCTAGCAGAAGGGAAGGAAAGACATGTCCAGGTGGTTCCCAGCTCCTCACTGCCTGTGTGAGACAGCATTGGCCTTCCCCAACTTTGTGTCGATGTTCCCAGGCCACAGGGTCTTGAGTCCAGGAGCATGTCTGGTCTTAAGGGGAGACACTGGGGCTAGAGTTTTAGGCTTGCAGGGAGAGAGGACTCTGTCGCAGAACACAATGAATGACGGTTGATACTCTTAGTCCTGTCCAGTAATTCCTGCATCCTTTGACCCCACAGGTATAGTCCCCTGGAGTGACCCCTGTTTGCCAGAACTGCCCTTCCCTGGCCCGTTCTGCCCACAAGCCCTGGGGCACCCACCAGGAGGAGACGGCTTCTTCCCTGATCTATTTCCAGCCCCCTGTGCTCCAGCTCTGAGCAGGCAGCCTTCGTCAGATCTCACCTGGCCATCTGCAGGTTCCAGACCAGGAACTGGGCCCTTATTCAGCAAGGCCCAGGGGGAGCAGCCTGCCACTTCGCTGGAGCAGCCCTCAACACCGGAGGAGGCCAGAGAGGATGACAAGAACAACTGTGTCCCCTTGTTGGGGGGCCATAGAGTAAAGGGATGCTGCTCGGTGGGACAGGACTGGGCTCACTCAGAGGACAGAGTTTGAGGGGTTGGGAAAAACTGTGGACTCTGTAGATTGAGGTAGAAGTCAGACGTCTCCCCTGTGTAGGCTTGTCTTGCTGGATGTGGATTTGAGATGGAAGAGGGCTGGACCTACCCTTTTGCCCTACACGTGTGTATGTTGGCCCTGATGAAAGGGGATTGCCTGTAACTTCTGAATATGGTCTCAGGTGTTTTTGTTTGTTGATTTCCTATCCTTGCTGGACACATGAGCCAGAGTATCTACTGTAAGCAGTAAACTAGTCCATCCTTGGCTTTTCTTCTGTGATCATGTGTCTCTCTACTCACACTGATTAAGAGCTCCATTTCCATCATCTCTCCTTCCACTCAGTGAGGTCTCCACTGCACATGACCCATGGAGTCTGGCATCCCACGTAAGAAGGAATTGGGCACCTTGGGCTTTTCCTTCTGCCCTGCCATTAAACTATGCTCTATCCCAAACCCAGGACTGAGCCTGAGCCAATCTGTATCTGGGCCTCTGGGATTGGGGTCCTGTGGGGATAGGGCCATGTGAGACGCTGTAGAATATTTGAAGTCTTATGACTTGTTTTGTTTGTCTTTTGGAGCAGTGGGGATCACCCAGAAGAGGCTCACAAGTGGACAGTTCTCTTGCGCATGAGTGATGCCACAGTGTCCCAAGACTCCCATAAATAGCACAGACCTCGTTGGGCCAGAATGGGTCCTCCTGTCTTCCCCAGGTCAGTTTGCAGAGGCACCAAAAGACACATTGCTAGGCACCCTGAGCAATCGCCTCAAGTGATCACTAACCATTTCTTACTTAACTTTCACTCATGGACTGCAATTTTACCCCCTCCATTTGTTTAGGGTTGCCCTTTGAGGATGGGTGCTAATCTAGGGAGCAATGGTGGTAGGTTGAGTTGCAGGAAGAGGAGGGAACAAGAGACAGCTTAACCAAAGATGAAGCATGCCCCCTTGGCATCTAAACAATGGGTCAGGGGCTCAGGAAGGAATGGACCCTGAGTGAGGATATGTCCCAGTGTACCACTGTCTTGTCCTGTTGCACAGAGTGACTTTTAGTCACACTAAGCTTGAAGAACTTCCTCCTATTCTCTGGCAGTGAGAAGTATTAGGCAAATGGCAAATTAGGCAATGAAGAAGAAACCTCACCTAGGCCTTACTGGTTCCATGCTTGAGTTCCTGCTTTCGTGCAGCACGTTAAGGAGTCAAGGAGAGTGAGGAGGAGGGTAAACAACCAATTTGTATGCAAAGAGAAGGTGGGGGAAACCCCCTTAGGCCCACTCCCACTGTGGGAGCTTTGCTGTCCTCTCAATCCTGCTTTCCAAAAAAAAAGGGGGGGGGGGCGCGATGGTGCCAGGAAGATGAATGGAGGGCAGAGGTGGCATGGAAGGAGGAAAACATTGACTAGGAGATGAAAGAAGAAGATAGCAATAGGAGAAAATAAGTTTCAACACAAGGGAAGTAGGACACAGATCTGGAGATTGGAGAGAAGGAGCCTGCGGGTCTAAGGTAAGAAATGTGGGGAGGAATAGGGACATGTCATGTAAAACAAGAAATGGAATTGAAAGGAAGCAGAGAAAACTGATGGGACAGGAAGGCATGTGTGAAAAGGAGAAAAAAGATAGTTATAAGGGTCAATGTTCTTCTAAATGTAAAGGAGTGGGAAGGGGTGAGAAATATGGGATTGAAAGAATGGTTAGGAAGACAAGTGCAAGCTAATGAGAAATGGACTCTGAAAGGACACAGAAATCCACCAGAGAGGTGCATGTATTGGGGAGAAAGCAAGAGAGAACAAGAGGATTGACTTGGCTTGCATGTGATTGGGGAGTTTGTAAAAATGTGAGAGAATACAAATGAATTTATTACTTGAGTATAAATGGATGCCAAGGGATGTATGGGACAGAGGTAGACGGAAGATGGTGGGCAGGAATTTGAGTATCAGAATGATAGGGTCAGGAGGAAACCCCAAGGAACTATAGGAAATGAAGGTAAGCAAGACAGGCAGGGGTAAGATGGAGGCTCTAGGGAAGGAGCCGTGAGGAGGACAGTGAAAGACTGATGGCCAGGAAGACAGATGATCACTCTCAAGTCTGTATGTCATGAGAGGCAGGAGGTTCATCTCACCCAGGGGAGAATTAGGGAGGAGAGGATTGCTATGGTTGTAGCAGATAGGAAAGTGCTCCCCTGGGATAGGAAGCATATTTCTTTTTTTTTCCTTTCAATTTTTTATTTTAAAGATGTGGCGTACAATTCAGGGTTAGGAATACAAGTGTTCATTATACAAGTACCCTTGTTGATGAGGTGTGCCCTCCCTCTGGCAGATTCCCACTACTGCCAATCCCCGCCCCCCACCCAGCAGTTTCCCACTACTGCCAATCCTTTTCTTATAGTATTACAATTATTGTTCAAGGTCTGCTTATGAGTGAGAACATGTGATACTCAGTTCTTTGTTCTTTGTTTCTGTGAGCTATCACTCACAGAAACAAATTATTATAGACTGTTAAGTCCATCCAAGTTGCTACAAAGTTCATAATTTTGTCCTTTATGACTGTGTACTATTCCATCGTGTATATGTACCATATATATATATTTTATCTAGTCCCTTTTCGATGGGCAGTATGGTAGTTTCCATGTTTTTGCTATTGTGAACAAGCATATTTCTTTTAATTTTAATTTTTATTATTTATTTCAATACCTTTAGGAGGGTACAAATAGTTTTTGGTTGCACAGATGCATTGTATTGTGGTAAAGAAGTCTGAGTTTTTAGTGTACCCACCATCCCCACCTGTGCACACTGTACCTGATAGGTGTTTTTCATCCCTCCCGCTTCTGAGTCTCCAGTGTCCATTTGAAGCCTTTGAAGATCCCTAGTTGAGCCCCCACTTATAAGTGAAAACATGCCATGTTTGGTTTTCTGTTCCTGTGTTCACTGATGATGATGCTCTCCAATTCTGTCTAAGCTGAGGAAGTACATGTCTGATGGGTAAAATGGAAGGAACAGAGGTGATCAGAATAATATTATTCAAAGAAGACAGTGACATTTAATAGGGACTAAAAGAGTATTTCACTGGAAGTTGAGTGCTGGGAAAATAAATACACATGGAAAAAACCTATTGGATATTGAAGAACTAAACTGTACTGGAAAACAAGGGCCTGTGTCTTGAAGGTGTAGGGCTTTTGTGCAAATATGTTTTAGTGACAGATCTCTATGTTGGTGGGTGGGATGGGAAACTGCAATAATTTTGTTATTTTTTTACCTTTTTTTTTCTTTGAGTAGAGATCTTGTCACCCAGGCTGGAGTACAGTGACACAATCACGACTCACTGCAGCCTCAACCTCCTGTGCTCAGGCGATCCTTCCACCTCAGCCTCTCAAGTAGCTGGGACTACAGGTGCACACCATCACACCTGGCTAATTTTTTAAAAGATTTTTTGTAGAGATGAGGTCTTTGTTGTTCAGGTTGGTCATGAACCTCTGGGCTCAAGCAATCCTCCCACCTCGGCTTCCAAAGGGCTGGAATTACAGGCATGAGCTACTGTGCCCAGCCTCTTTTGTTATTTTTAAGTTATTATTTATAGTTGCTGTTTCCCTATAATCAAATTACTATTGGATTAGATGACTTGACATGTGGAAATTGTATAGGAAAATATCTGACACAAAAAGCACATGATAAGTGTTAGTGCCATTCCTCTTTTCCTTCCCAGCATTTTGGGGCTATAATTTAACATTATTTGAGGATATAAGTAGGGCTACCCCGTATGTGATGACTGTAATACACCCAAATATAACTGACTCTTGAACAACACAACTTTGAACTGCGCAGGTCTATGTATGTATAGGCAGATTTTTTCAACCAAATGTGGGTAGAAAATACAATATTCACGGGAGGGAACTCTGCATCTAGGGAGGACTGACTTTTCATGTATGCAGTTTCTGGAGTGCCACATGCAGGACTTGAGTATATATGGATTTGAGTGTACTTGGGGGTCCTGGAATCAATCCCCCACGTATACCAAGGGACCCTGTAGTCAGGACTTGAGAGCTGTGGATCCCAGTCACTCCATTGTGCATTTGGTTGTGGGGGGAGGAGGCTGTCATTCTGAGCCTCCAAATGCAACGGCTAGTGGAAAATACACAATCTTTTTTTAAAACACTTCTTAATAAAAAGTTATTAACTTATAGATATTATACCAGTTGTAGAGTCCTAGTCCATAAGAACTGAAAAGGAAAAATATTTGGAAATGAAGAAGAAAACTTTTTGTTACACAAATACTCATGTCCATGGATCTGAATGAGGTTTTACAGACCAACAGTGTTTGTTCACTCCACTCTAGTATTCTAACCATCATCTCTTATTGTTACTCAAGGATTGCAATAGCCAGGCTTCAATCTCTTAATTTAGGGATTAGGATATATATATAGTTGAAATATGAAATGATTATGGTGCATAACTGAGCCTTTTAAAGGATACATTTTACAGATCTCTTCTTAGTTTTGCGTTCCACCTCATGAGACTCATGAAATGGGCAGCCTGAAAACAGACATGGGGGGGATAGATGGAAGGCTATACTGTTCTCTCCTTTCGTCACCATAGCATTCTGTTGCTTTCAACACTGACTCCCTACAGGGAGGCTAGCTGTTTTCTCCTCCAGACCTTTATTGGTGCAGGCTCCTACCACTCATAGGTTAGTAGCACCTCTGTGTAGAGCAAACTCGGTATCTGACACCAAGAATTGAAGGGTGATCAACTCATGATCTGTCCTTACAGGCAGCTCTTAGATAAGTGTTAGCCTAAGAGTCTGCTGAAAATAAAGTGAGTTAATTGAGAATGAGTGATGAATGAGAGAAAATGGTGAAAATCTCTTATGAGCATAGAAATCTAGAGGTGGAAGAAGACTTCTAAGCAGCTCAGTTCAAGCTTCTGACACTCAGGAGTCTCCTCTACCCTACCCCTGGTAGGCCATTCACTCAGTCTTTTCAGTGGAGGGCTGGGGGCTTAGGGATAAC